TAGGTATTGTGAAATGACTGAAATAAAGCTTTGCAGAATATCATGCAAAATGTGTTTCATTTATGTCTGTATGAATGAGCTGATATTGATGCAAGGAGGCTATTAATCTGGAGGTAGATGTCAAATTGCTCCTTCAGATCATAGATCTGTTGTGAGTCTCTACTTTTATTCCCTTTTAAAACCTGATTTGATCAAGCAGTGTTCACCACATGTTGTATCCACCTTTTTCCTAACAAGCCTACTGCGTTTTAAGTTATGGGAGGCACTTCCAGTTTGGGGAAGTTCCACTCAAAAAGACTGCAAGAAATCATTTCAAATCATAAGATTGTGCTACACATAATCTTTATCCGTCATTTTGACAGAATAGGCTGTAAATTTTCATTCATTTTCTATTTTCAGAAGTCAGGAGAATAACATTACGTTTGGTATAATAATGTGACGTGATGTAACAACAATATCTATAGAATAGCTCTTTTCAGCCCACTGCATTATTTTCCTTCTGGTTTTTTTCATGTTTCCTTTGTATTCCGCTGTAAGTAAATGAAAAAAGAAAACACAAACTGTGCATTTGTGGTCTGCTTTCCCGATTTAATCTGCAATATTAACCATGAATAATTCCCTGGAATGAAGAATCTTTCATTTTTCGCCCCAAATACTCATGTCTTTTTCTTTTCACACAGATGCTGTAAAACCGTTACCAAATATAGATATATATTACTATAATGATATTTAACACATCTGAAATATTGCTGAGGATAGGAGTAGGATCTTTAGGAGTTATTAGTGGTATGTTTAAAGTAATTTGTTAATGCTCTTATACTTTTATATTTCCTTTTAATGATCGATTGTTGAAGGTGAGTAAAATAATGTCACCTCATTGTACCCAGTTTTTGAAAATGCTTATGTTCATAGAGCAAACCTTTTGCTGATTGTTTACAGTGTAAACGGAAGTTACTCCCATAATTTGCCCAAAGCGTCATGGGGCGTACACTGCTGAGGTGGTATGGAAGCCCAGGTTTCTTTGACAGTGGCCTTCAGCTCATCTGCATTTTTTGGTCTCTTGTTTCTCATTTTCCTCTTGACAATACCCCATAGATTCTCTATGGGGTTCAGGTCTGGTGAGTTTGCTGGCCAGTCAAGCACACCAACACCATGGTCATTTAACCAACTTTTGGTGCTTTTGGCAGTTTGGGCGGAGACAAAAATATATACTTTGTCATTTATTTATTGAGAAAAAAAAAATTCTGTTTTTTTTTTCTTTTCTCTGTTTATTTTCTTTTATTGTATATATGCAACACTATATTTTGCAACTCAGTTCTTGCCATGAAAATAGCATCAGTTGCTGACATGGTGTTAAAAACTATAATACTAGTACATTTTTAATGATTAAAATAAATAAAATTAGCTTAACACTCGATTCATGTTCTACAAATGAATTGTGGTAATGGGACCATTGTCATTTGCTCACCGTCAAGTTGTTCATACCTGTATAAATGTCTTTGTTTTGCTGAACACAACTTTTTAAGAAGGAGGGTATATTTTGAAAAAATATATAGCAGTAGCACTAATAGAGATACAACCACGATCGGATAAGAAGCACTTTTAGTAGCTTAGATGGTATAGGGTCTAGCACACGTTGGTTTAGATTATTTAAGTTTATACAATTCTTCCTTTCCTATAGCAGAGAATGAGTGGAATTGTTCCTCAGGGGATCTATAATGATGCATCACAGCTGCAGGGTTATAATTTTCTCTCTGATGGTATAGATCTTGGAAGTAAAGAAATTAATAAAGTCATTACTGCTATGCTGTTGGGAAATGTCTCTACCTGTTTTAGCCACTGTATTGAATAAATACTTAGGGTTGTGTTTGGTTTCTTCTAAAAGAGACGAAAAGTAAGCATATATATATATATATATGGAATTTGACTCAGTCCTTCCAAAACATTAACTTTGTCCTTCTTTAACCATTTTTTGGTAGAACGACTTGTGTGCTTGGGGTCGTTGTCTTGCTGCATGACTCGCTTTCTCTTGAGATTCAGTTCTCGGACAGATGTCCTGACATTTTCCTTAAGAATTTGCTCGTATAATTCAGAATTCATTGTTCCATCAATGATGGCAAGCCATCCTGGACCAGATGCAGCAAAACAGGCCCAAACCATGATACTAACTCCACGGGCTCATAAACATTAACATTAGCCAATGTGAGAAAGGCCTTTAGTTGCTTAGAAGTTAGCCTGCAGTCCTTTGAAACCTAGTGGACTTTTACACATCTTGCTTATAGAATGTTCTTTGTTGGTGGACCACTCCTTGGGAAGGTAACAGTGGTCTTGAATTTCCTCCATTTGTACACAATCTGTCTGACTTTGATTTGGTGGAGTCCAAACTCTTTATAGATGGCGTTGAAATCATTTCTAGCCTGATGAGCAACACCAACTCTTTTTCTGAGGTCCTCACACCAATATCATGGTCAGCAAACTACTTGGAAGTGGTTATGGCACTGTGGTCATGTGGAAAAGGAAATCAGCATCTCCAAAAAGCTTGTCAGCAGATGAAAGCATAAAGTGCTCCAAAATCTCCTGGTAGACAGCTGCATTGACTTTGGACTTGATAAAACACAATAGACCAACACCTGCAGACGTCATGGCACCCCAAATCATCACTGACTTCGGAAACTTCACACTGGACTTCAAGCAGCTTGGATTCTGTGCCTCTCCAGTCTTCCTCCAGACTCCAGACCTTGATTTCCAAATGAAATGCAAAATTTACTTTTATCTGAAAAGAGGGCTTTGGACCACTGAGCAACAGTACAGTTATTTTCTCCTTGGCCCAGGTAAGATGCTTCTGACGTTGTTTCTGTGTCAGAAGTGGCTTGGTAGCCCTTTTCCTGAAGGCGTCTGAGTGTGGTGACTCCTGATGCACTGACTCCAGCTTCAGTCCACTCCTTGTAAAGCTCTCCGAAGTGTTTAAATCTGCTTTGCTTGACAGTATTCTCAAGCTTGCGGTCATCCCTGTTGCTTGTGCTCCTTTTCCTACCCAATTTCTTCCTTCCAGTCAACTTTGCATTTAATATGCTTTGATACTGCACTCTGTGAACAGCCACCCCTTTCAGTAATGACCTTCTGTGACTTACCCTCTTTGTGGAGGGTGTCAATGATCGTCTTCTGGACCATTGCCAAGTCAGCAGTCTTCCCCATTATTGTGGTTTCAAAGAACAAGAGATTCATGGAATTTATACATGGACTGTAAGCTCTAATTATCAAAATTAAAAAAAAACAACTTTTGAAATGGTTTACTTTACATGTAATGAATCTAGAATAGATGAAAGTTTAACTTTTTAAAATAAGTTACAAAAAAATTTACTTTTTCACGATATTCTAATTTTTTAGATGCACCTGTATATGTGTGTCTGTATATGTGCATATATAGATATGTGTGTGTGTGTGTGTATATATGTATATGGTTGTGTGTGTGTGTGTGTGTGTATGTATATGTATATATGTATATATACATTATCGCACAGAAGTGAGTACATCCCTCACATTTTTGTAAATATTTTATATCTTTTCATGTGACAACTCTGAAGAAATTACACTTTGCTACAATGTAGTGATTGTACAGCTTGTACAACTGTAAATTTGCTGTCCCCTCAAAATAACTCAACACACAGCCATTAATGTTTAAACCGCTGGCCACAAAAGTGAGTACACCCCTAAGTGAAAATGTCCAAATTGGGCCCAATTAGCCATTTTCTCTCCCCGGTGTCATGTGACTCATTAGTGTTACAAGGTCTCAGGTGTGAATGGGGAGCAGGTGTGTTAAATTTAACTAAATCAAAATTTGCTGTCAAAATTAACACTGATGTGCACCCCTGTATAAAATAGACTGAATCTTAGACATCGTATAAGTGATTTATTTGAGCACTAGAACAGTGTCTCTCAAACCTGTCCTGGAGTACCCCCAGCCCTGCACATTTTGTATGTCACCCTCATCTATCACACCTGATTCAACTCGTCCGCTCATTAGTGGAGACTGCAAGACCTGAAGTGTGTGTGTCAGATATAGGGAGATATACAAAATGTGCAGGGCTGGAGGTACTCCATGGAGAGGTTTGAAAACCACTACACTAGAAAAATACAATAAGAATAATTTGAGTAATATAAAGAAAAGAAGAGAGAAAAAAAAAAGAATCAGCTTTGTATGTCAAGTACATACTCTGATTGCCAGACATACAGCATTCACACTGATTGCTGGTCATACAATCAGTAATCACATGCTGATGGCCGATCATACAGATGGTAATCATACAGAAGGCCTGCCATATAGTCAATAGTCACTCTTATGGCCGTTCATATAGACAGCATTCACACTGATAGCTGGTCATACAGTCAGTCATCACATGCTGATGTGCGGTCATACAGATGGTAGTCATACAGATACAGCCACATTCCCCACAAAACACACACACACACACACATATGAAGAATAGGGAAAAAAATAATTATTTTAATTCTAAGTTACGCCCCCATCAGATGACAGGTGCGTCACAGGCGGTCCGCTCCTGTTTGCCAGATTTGGGCCACAAGCAAGCCATAGGAAGGC